TGTCATATACCATCGATACATCATTTTATAGAAATTTTCTTTCAAGGTATAACATAAAGTACATTTTAATCCTTTAGACCACATAATTTTTAGTCTCAATTCTGCCAACTTGAGTCAGCCAGGTCAGAAAATGTAAGTGGTTGCTCTTCAGCCTCCTGGATCTTTTTGCTTATATGCTTGTCTTGACTGAAAGCAACAGGAGGTAAACAGTTTATAGTTTGCACCCCCAAAATAACTGTTGTGAGGCTGTAAGCTTGTTGCTGTCTATAGGAATTCTGTCAGCTTCCACTGTTCATCTCCTTTCCGTATCATCCTAATACCAGGTTTTCAGCCTGTTGGATCTGAGGATTTGGATTGTTCTGATACTTAATATACTTCTTCTAACATATTTCATTTTATTACTGAACTTGCAGTTTCAGGACTAAATCAAACAATTTATCTTACTAGTCCAACATTGATAGCAACTCTCCAAACTTTCAAGCAGAATTTTTTTCTGACTCTATTACCTAAAGTACTTTTAACTAAAAATCCTCTGGTTGAACATGGGACCATCTGTAGGCTTTGCTTCTGAACGAAGAGGCCATTCTTATCATTCATTCATTAATATATTCATTCATTCAGTATTAAATTTATCATACCAACTACTGAGGACTCTTTGCTGGAAAGCATAAAATTAAATTTGAAACCAAGGGTATTAAAAACAATCATCAATTAAAACTCAGTTTTATTTTCTACATTAAGCTTAGTGAGAGATCTTGGAGTAAGGGTGTATCAGCATAACAATTCTCTGTTTATGATTCTGCAGACGGTACGTTAAGTTGCGATACAAAACTCCCTTTCATTTGTGAAAGAAACAATGCGTCGTTATTGGAGACAGGCGAATCAGACTATAAACCACCTCAGGGAAGCTGTCCTGAAAATTGGGTTTTTTTCCTGAATAAGGTAAAGCATAAATAATTTGGGATTTGGAACATTATGTTTCAGTCCTCAGAAGGTGACTTGAAATGGTTACCAAATTAGTTTGATGAACATTTAAAGATCTGTAATAACTTGCAACTAACCAACTGGATATTGGGCTACTACATAAACATACGGTTTAAACTGAGTATCAAAAGCATTTGTGAAATATGTACATTAGATGTTACATTAAAAAAAAATCTTTTACAGTGTTATCGAAAGATGACCCCTCAGGACATGACATTTAAAAAAGCAGATGAATATTGTCAATCTTTAGGAGGGTTCCTTCCTTCAATCAAAAGCCAGACTGAACAAGGTAAGAGAAGACATTCCATACAAAGGTCTATCTCCGGACTCTTTCCCATATACATAGATGTTGTAACTTGATTACTTGAAGCTGAATCTATGGACCAGCTCCTGGGAAAGCCTTTGTGTATGAGATGAGATGAAGGTTCTCTTCATGGACATCCACTGGGGGGAAGGCAAATCACAAGGCCAGCATCGTGATGCAACTCTATCCCTTTTGTACATGTGTTTTGGCATCACATGCCCACATATAAGGGGCAGAGCATCCTGCAGATATCCTGTTTGTTCTACTAAATATCTGATTATTATTATTCTCGCATATCCTCTTACGTCCCCTTCCCCTTGGTGTAGTAGAAAACTGCCTGTTCCAAAGAAAAATTAGGGATGGTGACTACTACCATTAATTATATGGGAATGCACTGTAATTTTGCAGTTGGTATCATCTTTATTCTTTCAAAATCTTATGAAGTTCCCATTTTTAAAATTAAAACAGAATTCTCACAAACCTGGATGTAAGTTTGGATGTAAGCATTATGTTTCCTTATTATCTATATTATTTATTTATGAATTAATTATAATATTTGTATTATGGTGGTGGTTTACAATAAATAAAACAAGAGCTGAGAATCATTCTCATTCTCATAGCTAAAAAGAGCAGCAGTGATTAATAATGCTCCCCCCAAACTAACTAGAAGGCACTAATCTCTGAATGTCCAGCAAAAGGAGACAGTCTTTTACCATCCTTTGAGATGACAAGATAGTGAGTGGTACATAAAAAGTACAGCATGGTAGTGGTATCTTTGTGGAAGAGAATAGAAATGACTGTTGTCTGAAGGAGGAGCAATTGAGAGCAATGCAGACTGTCTCTGCCTGTGTTTACAAGTAAATGAATTCAGGCCGTGGACGCTGGGGGATCCTCTTCCATGGATGTTGTTCTGATATCCCATCAATGAGCCTTAGTATATAATCTGCATGAGAAGATTGATAAAATGGTGAAATTAACAACAAAAAAAGATTAATCATATTATATATGCAGTATATATGCAGGGGTGTCGGGGGGGGTTTCCAAAAAGTCAAGATGGTGGCCACAGCCATGCAATCAAGGCTCTGCCCCTTTTTTACTTGTGATGCATGTTAAAAGGGGTGTAGCTTCAATTGCACAGTTGTGACTGCCAGCTCGACTTTATGGACACCCTGATCTGCAAGTTAATTCCTTTAGCTGTTTAATCCTAACATGCAAATATTTGTCTTCTTCCCAACAGATTTTATAACATCCTTACTCCCCAGCATGCCCCCAAAGATTTGGATTGGTTTATACTTCCAGGTGCATATCCATGAAAACAAGTGGACTGATGGCGGTGATTTAGACTATGTCAACTTCCACCCTTTGCTTCAAGGAACACTAAGAAAAGTTCAGTTTGATGTGAGTTGTTGACATTGTTCTTACACCATAGGCTTTCCTTATAATTTAGTTAAAGCAGAAAAAAGCTTTGCTTTTACTAATTTAGGGTAGAGGAGAAATGGGAAGTCAAAAATAGGAAAGTCTATCCCATCCATTTTGAATATTTAGTTTAGTTGAATTCCTCCTTCTTCAGAAGAATTTGGGTATAAAATGGGATCATTTACATTATGTTAAATATTGTTTGTGCTATAATTGTGACAGTAGCCTAAGAAATATGATTTTAGTAAGAAGCTTAATTATAGTCACAGTAGGTAGCCATCACCTAGTCAATCTGGGCTGAACTTGAAAAAGCTAAGCAGGGTCAGCCCTACTTAGTACTGGGATGGGAGAATATCAGGAAATCCTAGACTAAGAAATTGAAAAAAACAATTTCAGAAGAAAAAGCAATGGCATAACCTTCCATATTTTTATCAAGAGAATAACATGGGCCTTTCCATATAATCGTCAGTTATTGCTTGTTTCATTATAATGAAAGGGAGGAAAGTGTTACTTAAAAAAACAAAAGTAGCAGTCATTTCTTTTCTATGATTTCATATCTCAGTTCCCTGGTTTAGGTGTAAAGCTAAACAAAATTATTTCATCACCTTTTTTGGGACAAGGCAGCTTGTCATGATCATGATGTGAAATGGATTCTTTCAGTAAATTATAGTTAAGACTGAAGGTTTGGATTTAGACCCTAGGGCTGTGCAAGAAACAAATGAAAATTTATTCTGAAGTCAGAATTAAGTTCAGAACATTTTGAGAGTTACACTGTGGGAAACATTGAGAATGCAAAACAGTGCTCTCATTTTATTTCAGAGCCACAAAAGTGGATGGAGTGGTAGTCCATGCTAATGCTACCTTCCATCTAACTTACAGCAAAATTGGTAAAGAGAATGATTGAGGGGGTGGAGCCTAAAATATTTTTAAGTTTCCCATAGCAAATAGCAGAAGGAAAAGCTGGGCATGCTTTCTATAGCCTGCCCCCACAGACAAGCTATAGAACTTAGGCAAGCAAGAAGCAACTGTAGTGGATTTACATTAATCCAGCCTGTCATCACCTTAATAGTTCTCTAGCTGTTGCCTTCAGAAATGCTGAATATCTGCACGTATGAAGATATACATTCTGTATTTAACAACCTAAATGATTAACCATGAAGTAGCATTA